TATATATATAGACTTTGTGTCCCTCATCATTATTCCTCTGGCTGCGATAGATTTGGCCTTTTATGTCGATTACTCTTTGATTTCCCGCAAATAATTTCATAGACCTGATGTACGACTTGTTTGAAAATTTTCTAGCCTTTCTTCTTTGCCTTAAAGACGGTTCAAACGGCAAAAATGCCTCATTAAATGTATCAGGTAAAGTCTTGAGTTTCACTTTCTCTGTTATTACATCTGTGTTTGTTTATCGAAGGTTACCTTTACCTGAAGCCTGCTTCCGCATGGGCAGAGCAATCGTAGCTTCAGTGTCATGTCAATTGACTGAGTTGCAATTAATGCTATGTATTAGAGATCGACCGATACACATTTTTGAAGGCCAATACCGATACCGATTTTTTAAAACATCAGTCTAACCGATACGCAGACACGTGCAGCCAATTTTATTTGGCCGATTCTTGAAGCCGATACTACTTTTTCTTCCTCCATTAACATGATAAAAATAAGAATGATAACAAATGTTACACAAGTATTTTATTTGTTTCATATGACTTATTTCATCCATGTTTTCAATTGTTAAACTAAATGTCACAGTGCTCCTTAAGGTAGGAGCACAAGAACGCCTCATTTCAATTGACTGTTTTTCATATGGTAGTTACATTTGGCCACTTCAGTACCGAGCCTCATGGACCCCCTATGCTCGGGGCGCTAGACATTTGCCTCCTGGAGTGTTGAAACTCACCAAACTCATACCAGTTCTGAATTACCTGGTGAATTAATTATGAATTATCTGGTTAATACGATGTGCTCTTGCTCTCAAGTAAATTCACTTTCTTTATTTCATCCACCATTAAAACAGAGAATGGCCTGCAGAGAAAAACAACCAGAGGCTCTTCTCGACACATGTGACGCTTGTCTAGACTAGAGCAAAGTGTACAAGCGTCCAACTTGAAGCACTGGACATGTTTTCGATGCTCAAAACACGTTCAATGTGAACACAGCATTATGACTTGTTTGACAAGGTCTTTGCTTGTTAAAAAAGTAAGTGCAGCTCATTTTGTTATAATGAAAATACAAAACAAATTAAACCTAGATTTAGATTATTTACCACTTTGATCAGTACATTGTTAATATCTGAATGGCCCTTGTGCTACTTTAGATTCAACAAGCTGGGCCCTAAGGTCGAAAAGGTTAAGATTCTCTGTTCTAATGGATAAAGTCATCTCACCTTCTTGTCCTTCTGCTCTCCATTCTTCTCTTCATCAACGTGGCCTTCATCAACCTCCTCGTTTTCAGGACTGGCTTCCCCTTTTTTCCCCTTTCTTGTTTTCTTCTTCTCTGGTTTGGGAGGCTCTGGGGTCTCCACTTCTTCTGTAGTTTCTGTGATCTGAAGGGGAGAGAGTGTTTGAGCGTGGAAAAGACACGGTGAACAAAACAGTGGGCTTTTTTAAAAGGTATTTTTACCTTTGTCTTTCCTCCCTGAGCCTCAAGAGAAAGCTCCTCCAGTTCCTTCAGAATGTCATCCTCACTACAAGAAGAGCAAACACACAGTTAAACAAGCTGTTCATAACAATTTACAAACAAAAAATGTAGGAGGATGTGGTAAAGGAGATAAAATGTCGCACTCAAAGTCATCCTTCTTGGCTCCTTTCTTTTTCTTCTTTCCTTTCTGCTCCTTGGAGGCTCCAGCTCCTTCAATCTCTGCTGCCAGAGCATCAATGTCCCCGCCATCATCTTTGGCACTGAACACAGAACAATAACAATTGATCGATAAATGGAGATTTAGTCACATGATAGCCTGTTAGAGAGGTGAGTGAGGAGGGGCTCTTTGTGACACAAAAACACGAGCCGACGAGCAGCTGCTGACTCTTTCCTTCCTTTTGTTTGCCATCATCCCTCTGATGCACAGAAAGTAGAAAGTGATATGAAAACAGCTTCACCCCACAGAAAAAATGAACTAAACTAGGCTGCTGAAACAAATTTTATTACTTATATCACACCTTATTCATGTTTTAGTTGTGTTTCACATTCTGTCATCAATCAACAAAAACAAACAAAGCTTCATGTTTTTATTTGCCCTTATTTAGCTGTGAACAAGAACTTATTTACTAAGATGCACTGATGTATAAATTGTGGCTCAGGCTTCTACAAAACACTGAGCTTCATTAAAGGATTTTCCTGTCATATTACAAATTAAACAAACATTAATTTATGTCATGAAGATTCTTAGTAAAACAAAAACTGTTATTTTAAGTTGTTAAATAGGACTTTTACTCTATAAAAATTCAACGTTGTGTTAGTATTCTGTCATACAGTACTGTTGATTACAGTAAGAAATGACAATAGGAATCAGACAGATAAAACTTCAAGAGTTCTCATCCCTAAATGCTGTCAACATAAAACAGATGAACACAAATGTAAAAACTTTCATTACAAAAACAGCTTTCAGACAGATTTTTAATAAAGACTGAAAACTGTGGGAAAAATTTAATACACGAAAAAAGTGTGTGTATGTATAACACTAATATAAAATACAAATCAAGACAAAATAAACAATCATAACATATAAAAGCAGAAACTACTCAACACGATAAATAAATGTATTGTTGGGAAGATTTTAGGGTGAATTTGTACGATGTAAAGACAAATGGGGACAATAAACTTTCCACTTATTTAAAGCCCTTTAAACACCTACAGGACCAAAAATAAAGTAAAAAATAAAGTCTGTCTAAATAAATAAATAAATAAAGTAGCTCGAGTCATCCAGCTAAGTTTTTATATGTTTCTGATGAAAGATCATCAGAGGCAGGTGAGTTTAATCAGGTTACATCAGCCATAATGAGTGCAGCTAAAAGCTAACATAGCCTAACTAGGTATGGTTTACTTTATCAATGGGTCTTCAGGTGAACTTCACAAGAGAAGCCGTAAAATAAGTTGGATGTTGATTATGTGATTGAAAGCAGCTGTTAAAATACTACAGCCGACTCGGTCGCAGAGCTAAGTCGGTTAATTACGCTGATTTCTCAGGCTAACACCAGCCAGTTAGCCCCAAGATTTGAACAGGATCTTCGTACAGCTTCGTCCACGTGAACCCGTGACAGCCGATCTGGTTGTTGTATAATTAATTGATCTTGAGCCATTTTCAGACTGTTTACAGCTTCACCTGCACTCACATGCGTACAATGACTCGTGGTTAGCATATGCTAGGACACCGTCCTAGCCGCTAAGCTAACATGATGGTAGGCAGTATTAGTAAATAGGACGGTTTGGAGAGGTTTTAACTTTGTAAGAAAGTTCCTGATACTCGGTACCGGCGTGGACACATGTTTACCGACAGTAGGTCGCGTTCTGCCTACCTGTCCTCTCCAGATTTTTTCTGTTTTTTCCCCATCTTGGAGCTATGTCTCGGCTGCCACTTTGACTGACCGACGCACACACTACGGCTCACATTGGTCAAAGATCGTCTACTATCGACGCATTTGGAAGATGCTTTAGATTCACTGCTAAACTCAACGTGTAAGATAACGCTTCATGCATATCTCCACGTTAGCGTAGTTATTTTTGATCTGTAACTTTAAAATGTACGCTTTGTATTCTATTACAAATGGCAGCAATTGATACTTTAAAACAGTTTGAGAACGTTTAAAATGAAACTGCGCACGCCTTCTTAAGAAAAAGTGACACATCTTCTTTATTATACCAGCTTGGCTTAGAAAAAAATATGAGCGAATGCGTTCGTCGATTTACAATAAATGAGATAACGTGTCGCCGTGAACCTTGAATTTTTAAAACTATTGTAACTGTCATACTTGTAGTGTGAGTCCTAAACTACAACTAATAAGTAATTAAAAACACAAACTTCATATTAGTCAAATTATAGCAGTTATAATTTTTACAAAACGAAATAATACACTTTATATAGAATTGTCGTTTGAGGATTTGGTTGAACGAGAATTGTGTGTGTGTGTATATATATAT